CTTTGTACATTTCATAGCCGTCCTATGCAAAACAACAACGTGAAATCGCCAAAATTTGCGTCGTCTGCGAACCGAAACCGCGACGGCAAATTATTTTAATTTCCATTTGGAACTCAACGGCTACTTTATACGTCATGCGGAAGTTGAGCTGTGGCGCTATATGAGACAGTAAGCTCCTGCAGCCATTTTTGAAATTCTAACTAAGAGTAGAAATTCATTTTTTAATCGAAGTCTTCCTTGGCGTCGCCGTCGTGGTTTCTTAAGGTCCCTAAAGTCACGAGTACTGCGCGGTGCGCTAACATCAATTTTTTTTCTCGTTTTTTCTTTTTTAACTCACGCGACAGACATCGCCGAAAAAGAGGGACTGCTCGAGGTCTAAGAGTTACCTTAAGGGGAGAAATTTATCGCAGAGAAAATGATTTGATCTAAACGCAAAAGACATTTTATACTATGTTCTCCTTGGGATGGAGGAGATTGTTTCGAGCCTCACAATCAGTTTTTCATTTGTCTCTGGGAATAAAATCAGAGTTTGAAAAAATTTAATTATTTTGATCTTGCACGTCCTCGGAGAAGCTATCTTAGATTTTTTTTAGATTTCGGGAGGAGGAGTCCTTCAAAAGAGATCGGTTTAAATCTGTTCTGGAGAGTCCTTGTCGCTATCTCACCGGAAAAGGTCGAAAAGTTAATTACGATATGACATGCTCCATTGCGAAAATTGACCAGTTTACTGAGCACCTATGAAAATATTTTTGAAACACTGTATTTTGAAATTACTTTTTCGCATGCCCCACGGCGAAAATTGACCTTTTTTCTGAACACATATGAAGACATTTTTGAAAAACTGTAATTCTAAAGTACTTTTTCATAAATTTTTGAAAACGTTATAATGATTATATCATCTGCCTGGTCAGAAGTCAGTTTCACATGATCAAATATGCCAACAAGACTCACGTTTTCTTATTTCCGTCAGAACTCAAAGAACTGAAAGCTGTCTGGGATGTGCAGAGCTCTTTCAACAGCAGGTTCACAGGATCAATGTTAATGTCGTGACTGTGACGGACTTCTAAGTCCTTGTGTGTGTTAAACTTCGATTATCATGGGCACGCAGTTTTCCAATTTCCCTAACACTGAGAGCTGAGCTGAGTGCTCTAGTCTCACATCTTTCCGTAATTCTTTTATTTGCCATTCCAAAGTCTAATTTTAGTGTTATCGTTGGTGACAGGCATCAATTACTTTGCAGTAAGCCGCCGAAAATTGTTTTAATTAACACCGGGAACACGTACGCGACTTGGCAGATGGTTTTAATCGATTGCTTGTGTGAGAGTTTTTTTTAGAAGCTCTGAAGAAGTTGAATTTTTTTCAAAATACTAACAGTGTTTAACAAAATTGCTCAATAATTAGAAGCGTTGCAGCCACAAGCAAGTACCCTAGCTCCGCCCAATTTAAAGATATTCCCCCAACTAAGGCGAAAAACACTTGCTTTGGTATCGCATAGAACGTAAATGTTCCAATAACACTGCGCTCGAAGGAAAAAATAAAAAGGTACCGGCAGTAAAACCATTTTTCCGCGTATGAAAAACTGCCGTAACTTAATAGCTATGCTGATGGACAAAACAGATTTTAAAGCAGTATGTTTCTTATAAATATTCAAATTATTAAGTTACTAGTACTTTTGAGGAAAAAATAATCGGAGCTGTTGAAACCATTTTATCCGCCTGAGAAATAAGAGCGGCAAATTAAGTAATGCGGTTTCGCATAGAAAAATCGAAGACTTCTCTATAAGACATGGTGACCAATAAGAGAAGCTTCTGCCATTTTCTCGAACTACAAAGCATGTGTAGGGAATATTTCGTAAAAATGGAGAAAAAATATTAAAAACTCGCCTTCCTGAACATCAGAGGCTTACTGTCCTTTCAGTCACTACTAAGTTCTCAGAACAAAAAATAGATGAATAAGGATCTATTTTCTTTTCAATGCTGCGTTCAACATCGACCACGACAGCTCCCAAAAGTTCTTCGAGTCAGTTGTGATCGTATCAGAGCAACGCCGGTCAATTTGAATAGCAAAGTAGGGCTTGTTGACAGAAAGCATTTGTGTTTACATGGCTGGTGTCCTGTAAGAGTTTGGCAATGCCAGATAAAAATGCTATTTGAATAGCTGTTAAAGGTGTAACTTGGCTGTAGATTAGGGATTGAAATAAGACCCCAGTCCGTCGCTCACAGTTTATTTGAAGAGGTGGGTGAAAATTTGCTTGGTACCACAAGTTAGGTAAAGCGGTGCTACTGAGAGAAATACATCCCCCACGATAATCATATCAAAATTGCGAAAATGACATCTGGTTTGAATTCATTATTTCATTTAGACAATTACTTGGAAATTTTCTGCCCGATCGAACAATGCTGTATTTACAATTGCAAGCTTCTCTTGGCAAGTTTTTGTTGGCATTTTGGATGGGAAAAAAAAAATATGTGACAAGATTAAACTTGGCAGTAAGCTTTGTTCTAAGACTGGCATATCACGTTTTGAAAAAATAAGACTGACTTGTTTAAATTCACGAGGGTAGGTAACTTGACAGAACACTTGTTGTGGAAGTTGTAAAGAGTTTTAAAGAAATTCACCTCCAGCGGTGAGTTTCTCACGACAGGAGTTTTTGACAAGTGTTCTTCGATAAAATCTCTGGCTAACTATTTGCTTGACAGGCAGACTCAAGTTGTCGAGGCACACTCCCTATTAATTCAAATTCGGCGTCAATAACCATTTCAAAAGTTGTTAGAGTGGCTTTTCCGACTATCAGAAAATGTGAAGTACCAGAAAATGTGAAGTACCAGAAAATGTGGAGTATCAGAAAATGTGAAGTTTATCAGATTCATCAAGTTTTCGACCAGAAAAACATTTTCAAGTGGAAATGAAAAAATAATAATCCAAAGAGTTTAGCAAAATGTCGTTTGCCTTTGAGCAATTTACAACGCGATTTGTCATTCTGCCAGAATGCGGGGTAATGCCGCAACACAAATGGACATGTGTAGTTTCACAATGGCAATTACGATGACGTATTCGAACACGATTATGTATTCGAATATGAGTTGATGGCTTGAGCTCCATCCGGCTAGCCCTACCCCTCCCCTCACCCCACGAACACACTCAGTTTTCGGTGTGCAAATTATCGTAATCGCAGCAGAAAATTGGCTCAGCGAAATATTCAGTAAACTGGTCTTTTCTTAAATAATTTCGGAGGAATCACACCGGGGAAAATAACTTCTGGCTTTAAAGTAAGTCAGACAACCACCTCGTACAGCTATCACTATATAACTTCTGAGAGTTGAAAAATTCAAGATAGTTTCGACCATGACCGGCCAGCGCCAAAGAGGGATTACAGACACACCAGACACTGTTACGTTTAAAAAAGAAAAAAAAAAAAAAAAAAAAAAAAAACTTTTTTGGTGCAATGAACGACTATCATCGAGGGTATGCGTCGGTTTGACGTACGATGTGGCCAATTCCTTCCCCTTCCCCCAGCCCCCTTCACGACTCGACAAGCTCCGCTGCCACTGCCTACACCAAAGCTGTCTACTTCACGGGAAGATATTCTTCCATAATTGATAAAGGAACTCTTAAGAGATAGGAAGTGGTACTGAAAATTAGTATAAAACCTTTTAAGTTGCAGTTTTGAGGGAGTGAGAGTAAGCAACTTATGTTCCGGTTACAAGACCATGCGATAGCGTGAGTAGTAAGTATCTATATATATATATATATCAAAACACTTTTGATGCAAATGAACATCACCCTCGAAGAGCTTTAAGTAATATCTTGTGAGAGCAGAAAAGAAAAACATCCGCAGATTTTGCAGTGATGTAGACACCATGTCTGCATTTTTATAAACTTCTTCGCGAGTTTAGTATATTAATCAACTTTCTTAGCGTTTATTTATAAATTATAGCTCCAAGTATTTCATAAAGAGAAATGCCGGTGCTGAGGCTGGTCAAAGTTAATACAATCTCGAATTTTGAAGAAATTTTACGAAATTTTACGAGGTAATTGTCTGACTTTACCTTAAAAGCCAAAGGAAATATCGCAATAAGCCCGTAAAGCAGCTATGGCCAATATCCTTATCTTTTTTATTGTTGGAGGCAAATGCAATTTACACCTACGTTGAAAGAAAGAACATACCATGAAAATGAATTAGGTTAAAAAGCTGGAATTGCTGATCCAGATTAGTTTTTCTATAAAAGAAAAAATATTGTATATTCCTCGCAGAAAAAGATATTGCTATGAAACAGTAAGAAAATTACGAATGATTACCAAGCAATTTTTAAATTAAGGGCATAGTTTGATCATTACTGGAGTTTAGTGGCGAGGAGAAACATGTGGTTTCGAGCTGGCTCCTGTCCATTTTAAGTCAGTCTACTATTTGTAAAAGAAAAGAAACAAGAAAGAAAGAAACTAGACATAATAGATGGTGTGGTATTAGTGCGTGAGACAAATACTAGAATTTCTATTTAAGTTACATACGGTGATCGATGTTCCGACGGCAAACCACGTTCCACTTCTTTGGTCAAAGAGAATGTATTCAAATCTTTCAGAGATCGAATAAGATATGTTATGCCAGAGATCTTTTGTCTCTTATGAAAGCATTTGTTTGCACTCATCTTCCCATACTCTGAAGTTCATCCAGTCTCACTTGATGTCACTGAATTTGACTCCTTTTCAATTTTTTCAGTTTCAGATACTGTCCAAAATTGTTCCTTAAATTTCTTTTATATAATATTATTTCGACCGCACTCCTGCCAACATGATTGGATATCTACTATCTTTCACTGGAAATTGTTTTTGACTCTCAGATCTGGGTGTCTGATATTTCATTAATTAAAAAATTAGTTTCAGACCAGTTTGTTTATTAAATTTAGAGCTGTTTCTGAAATGATGGAGAATTCTTCCTAGCTGATGAACAGCTCTCGCCAATCTGCTGGATTAAGAAGGATTTTTCGGTCAGAGCAGTGGAGTGGTCCGTGATAACAGTTCCAGTCATCGAGAGGTGAGGAAAAAAGAAAATGGTAAATTCCGGTTTGTTTTATCTTTCATTCATACGATATACATTTGAAACACCTTCTTTCATAAGAACAATCTGGAGATGTCGATTTTAAATGGAACGTTTTGCAGACGGTTTTCAGCAGCAGTATTAAGTCTTGTAAGGATAAAAGGCTTTGTAATTGAATAAAACGTAAAGCAAAATTTCAACGATACGTTTTGTGTTGTGCCCCCTAATAAATAAGAAAAATACGTGGTTGCTTAATGTCATTTTATATCAATGATTCGGAGGAAATTTGTTTTTTTTTCAATTACTCTCAGCCTCCAAATAAAATCGCTAGAAGACCTTTCTTTCGTCTCCTCTCCTCTTTGGACAATGTGTAGCATACAAATCCAGCGGTGGTTTTAATAATTATCAACTGAAACAAATCTCAATTACAATCAGTCTCCGATCGGAAAACCTTTCTATGCAAATTTACATCAAGCTTCTTCCCCAAATTTATTTCCACGTTGAATTTCTCAACTCATTTACATTTCAAGGTTCCTGATGGTGTCAACTGCCCCACTTCGTGTAGGTGTGGGGCCGAGTAAAATTAAAGATTAATATCACGTGTGTTTTCAGAAGTTGCTGAAATTGCCCTCGTCGCTTCGCGACTCGGGCAATTTCAACAACTTGCGAGCACAAGTGACATTACTCCTTAATTTTACTTGGCCCCATGCGATTACTTGTTAATGAAATTGAGGGGAAAATTACTGAATTTCTGAATGCGCTCTTCAGTAATCAGTCATAAGAAGCCATATAAAGTTGACAGAGAATCAGTGGCCACAAAAGCACGAATGAGCTGAATGAAATTTTATTCTTGCACAAAGATACCAGGACTTTGGAGAGGCTTTTGATTTTAGATATCTCTCCAGTGATGCCTGCATTACTTCCAGGTAGTCGGGCTCATACTCATCCCCGTTTTCTTTTCGTAACTCGGCATAAAACTGCGCCAGTGTTCGGTCGAGGACATCGCTCTCGTACTCTTCTAAATTTGTTTGGAAGTTTCTTTCATTCGCCCACTTTTTGAAAACGTTCTTCCAGTACTCCGTGCTTTACCTCGTGTTTCCGTTTTCACTCGCCTTTTAATTCTTCGATATATTCCTCGTCAACTATCTCGAAACGAGACGCCATTGTTACAGAAAATCTTCAGCTGCAACAACTTTTCGATAGCATAAGCTGTTGCTAGGCAACCTGAGTACCAATCATGAGCTAGTAATTTTGCCCTCTTCTCACGCAAAATTAAGAATACCCTCTTCATTGACCAATCAGTATTCAGTAACTTTGCCCTCTATTTTATTATCACCAGAAAAATTAACTCATCGAAAGTCCAAACGTGACCAAACTTAGCCTTGGGGAGTTGCTCCTTCTCTTTTGGATTAAAAGGAATTCTAAACGAACGCTGGAGGTTTCCGAACTTGTTTTCGATCAGCAATGAAGTGTAGAAAGCTTCGTTGACCAATTTCATGCAAGGATAGATCTTTCGATAAATTTTTAATAGGTCTAGTACAGATTGGATGAAGACAAATTCTTGACAAATGGCCCTGGAAGATATTTTCAACAAGTGTGCTTTGAGTCTTGGAGCATAATTGTGGAAAAGCTACGAGTGCGGGTCAAAATGTTCATTCTGTTCTTGTCCAGTCAACAAGGCTGTCTTAAAAACGACAATTAAATTTGTTTTCGATTCCCCTCGCCTCGCAATAAAGAAAAAAAGATTATGCGTACTAGTTTTGAATTTGTTTTACTGTTTTCTTACACAGGATGCGTCAATCTTCACAAATTCACGCTATGTTGTTAGTAGCAATACACTTTGTATAATAGTTTACAAAAATACCTACATATGACAGCACCAGCGTCTACGATTCTTGGCGAACCATATCCGATGAACGCCGACAAACAACAAGCTTTACTCGACCAAAGCCGTTTGTGTGGCTTTTACGAAACGAAAAAGTAAGCGAACAAACGAACGAGCGAAAACACGGGACAAAAACACTATAGAATAAGCAGTGCCTTACATTGTTCATCAGTTATGTAACCCTTAGTGACATATCGTAATTTATTTTCTTTCAGTCAAACGTCCTATGTTGCATAAATATGCACTACAGTCCCAGCGGTCAGTACTGCTCCTTTCTTTTTTTTTTTCTTTTTTTACAGTAAACTTCGCCATTACAAGTTACCAGTAGAACGAGACGCGAGTCACTAGTCTGGTTTCTTCCCTGTCATACAAGAAATAAGTAATGCAGATACTTCTCCCACTAGTCTTGAAAGAATTTGGACTTTTGTCAGAGTCGATTAATGATGTTTTCATTGCCATTAAATTGTTCTTTTCTGTTAATTTGAGCATAACAAGAAACGAGCATCACAAAAGACAAAAACTCAGGGACAATTTTCAACACCGAATACAACTTTTACGCCATTACTTGCATACAAAAATTGTTTAGGTTTAATGTTCCTTTCCTCTTAGATAACGATGTATTAAATAAGAGAGGAAAGCTGATTTAATAAAGACTTGAAACCGAGGGTACAGGGGTATGGGTAGCTGCCTACGTCAGGTTACCGACTCTTGCTGCTTTCCTTCCCAGTTGACTTGCTACCTGAATATGTCTGCTGATATCCGTAAGTGGTGGGAGTCTGGGCTTGACTTTGATCTTGATGCTGTTGATAGTAACCATACTGTGGATATTGTTGGTAACCCTGTTGAGTGGGCGTGTGTTGTGTTGGGGTTTGCTGTGTCGGCGTTGACTGGTGTTGTGATGAGCGCTGCTTCTTTTGACGCTGTACATGTTGGGCTGCGGCTGCACCCCACTGCGCAGGCGTAAGCTGTGTAGGGGTCTTCTTTTGAGAGTCTTGTTGTTGCCTGGCGACAGCGGCCAGCGCAGAGTAGACCTTGGGGTCGTTGATTCCCCTGGGGAAGTGCTGCTGGAGCTGAGGTAACAGTCGAGCGGGGTCCACATCAGAATTGATGGAGGGAGTACCTCCTGGGGTGTAAGGGGTGTTGCCCTCGGACATGGCAACTGGCATCCTGTGCCGAGGAGTACCTGAAATATAGAAGAAGTCACTTAAATACGCAAGCATGGCGTAACCACAGGGGACAGGAGATAACACAGCAATTTCAAATTAGACATGGTCTGATGGTGGTTTAAGGATTTAATGAATGAAACCGGGGAAATTACTATTCATCGACCAAACGTTTCGACACTCCTGTCTAGTGCCTTCGTCAGGGGTCATCTGATCGTTGATCGTGAATTGTCGGAATTAATCCGGGTAATCAGGGCTCGACACTAACTTTCCAACTTACTAGCCGAGTGGCTAGTGACCAAAACGTTACAACAATTTCAGTTTGTTCACTGACCAAACTGGCTAGTGGAAATCGAAAACTACTTGCCAACTGAATTTCCACTACTGTAGTCTGTGGCTAGTTGGCTTCCGTTAATGTCGAGCCCTGTTATTATTACTTTGGTTTTGCTTTACTCCGCAATAACATGGATCCAAACAAAAAACCTCGCGCCACGTCCTCGACAATTCAAATTCAAAACTAAACCCACTCGCCACTTGGTCCCCAAGTTTTCCCGCGCTTCAAGTTGTTGTTGTTGTTTTTTTTTTTTTTAACCCAGAGTT